CGAAAAGACAGTCACTGAGTGTGAATATAGTTTGCAAAAAGCCAGTCACTAGTGTGAGTATAGTTTGCGAAAAGCCAGTGCCACTGAGTGCGAATATACTTTGAGAAAAGCCAGTCACTGAGTGTGAATAAAGCCAGTCACACAGTTTGAAATACAGTTTACGAGCCAGTCACGAATACAGTTTGCCAGTCACTGAGTGTGATATAGTTTGTGAAAGCCCACTGAGTGTGAATACAGTTTGCGAAAGCCAGTCACTGAGTGTGAGTTTGTGAAAAGCCAGTCACTGAGTGTGGTGCGAAAAGCCAGTCACTGAGTGTGAATACAGTTTGCGAAAAGCCAGTCACTGAGTGTGAATATAGTTTGTGAAAAGCCAGTCACTGAGTGTGAATATAGTTTGCGAAAAGCCAGTCACTGAGTGTGAATATAGTTTGCGAAAAGCCAGTCACTGAGTGTGAATAAGTTTGCAAAAAGCCAGTCACTGAGTGTGAATATAGTTTGCGAAAAGCCAGTCACTGAGTTGAATATAGTTTGCGAAAAGCCAGTCACTGAGTGTGAATATAGTTTGCAAAAAGCCAGTCACTGAGTGTGAATATAGTTTGCAAAAAAGCCACTGAGTGTGAATATAGTTTGCGAAAAGCCAGTCACTGAGTGTGAACATTGTTTGCAAAAAGCCAGTCACCAGTTTGCGCAGTCACTGAGTGTGAATATAGTTTGCGAAAAGCCAGCCACTGAATGTGGATATAGTTTGCGAAAAGCCAGTCACTGAGTGTGAATATACTTTGCAAAAAGCCAGTCACTGAGTGTGAATATACTTTGTGAAAAGCCAGTCACTGAGTGTGAATATACTCTGCGAAAAGCCAGCCACTGAATGTGGATATAGTTTGCGAAAAGCCAGTGCCACTGAGTGTGAATATAGTTTGCAAAAAGCCAGTCACTGAGTGTGAATATACTTTGCAAAAAGCCAGTCACTGAGTGTGAATATACTTTGTGAAAAGCCAGCCACTGAATGTGGATATAGTTTGCGAAAAGCCAGTCACTAAGTGTGAATATAGTTTGCGAAAAGCCAGTCACTGAGTGTGAATAGTTTCAGTCACAGTTTGCGAAAAGCCAGTCACTGAGTGTGAATATAGTTTGCGTTAAGCCAGTCACTGAGTGTGGATATAGTTTGCGAAAAGCCAGTGCCACTGAGTGTGAATATAGTTTGCAAAAAGCCAGCCACTGAATGTGAATATAGTTTGCGAAAAGCCAGTGCCACTAAGTGTGAATTTAGTTTGCGAAAAGCCAGTCACTGAGTGTGAATATAGTTTGCAAAAAGCCAGTCACTGAGTGTGAATATAGTTTGTGAAAAGCCAGTCACTGAGTGTGAATATAGTTTGCGAAAAGCCAGTCACTGAGTGTGAATATAGTTTTGCAAAAGCAGTCACTGAGTGTGAATATAGTTTGCGAAAAGCCAGTCACTGAGTGTGAATATAGTTTGCGAAAAGCCAGTCACTGAGTGTGAATATAGTTTGCGAAAAGCCAGTCACTGAGTGAGTGTGAATATAGTTTGCGAAAAGCCAGTCACTGAGTGTGAATAGTTGCGAAAAGCCAGTCACTGAAATATAGCGAAAAGCCAGTCACTGAGTGTGAATATAGTTTGCGAAAAGCCAGTCACTGAGTGTGAATATAGTTTGCGAAAAGCCAGTCACTGAGTGTGAATATAGTTTGCGAAAAGCCAGTCACTGAGTGTGAATATAGTTTGCGAAAAGCCAGTCACTGAGTGTGAACATACTCTGCGAAAAGCCAGTGCCACTGAGTATGAGTAGTTTGCGAAAAGCCAGTCACTAGTATGAGTATACTCTGCAAAAAGCCAGTCACTGAGTGTGAACATACTCTGCGAAAAGCCAGTGCCACCGAGTGTGAATATAGTTTGCGAAAAGCCAGTCACTGAGTGTGAATATACTCTGCGAAAAGCCAGTGCCACTGAGTGTGAATATACTCTGCGAAAAGCCAGTGCCACTGAGTATGAATAGAGTTTGCGAAAAGCCAGTCACTGAGTGTGAACATACTCTGCGAAAAGCCAGTGCCATCGAGTGTGAATATAGTTTGCGAAAAGCCAGTGCCACCGTGTGTGAATATAGTTTGCGAAAGCCAGTCACTAGTATGAGTATACTCTGCGAAAAGCCAGTCACTGAGTGTGAACATACTCTGCGAAAAGCCAGTGCCAGTGATTGCGAATATAGTTCGAGAGAAATATGCACAGCGGTATATTGATTTCATTCATTCAAGGGCAAACTCATGTATTGTACGAGACAGGTCTTTATACACTGTAGTCACAATACAAATATTTCACATGCAGTGATCAGCATTTTGAAAGAGAGTGATAACAACGGTGATAACAATGAGAGCAAAAAGATACAGTAGGCGATGGAAAGTAAATAAACGAAATAAAATAATAAACTCTCATGCTTGCAGACATGAGGACGAGGGGGCGTGGGGGCGGGGGGGGGCGGGGGGGGCGGGGGGCAGCATGAGTAACACCTCGATCAATGCTTTCTCCTCCACGTCCACCTGTTAGAGAAACCAGCCTCATATTTACGAAAAAGTTAAGGGCAAACACCAGCCTACGATTACATCCTCTCACACACGCATAAAGACGTACACACGTAAACATAAAGAAACACACACACACACACACACACACACACACACACACACACACACACACACACACACACACACACACACACGCACACCGCACACGCACACGCACACGCACACGCACACGCACACGCACGCACGCACGCACGCACGCACGTGGACGCAGAGCGCTCAACATGAGACGGAACGCCCTGCAAGAGAGGAGGGGAGGGGGTGGGGGATGTGCAGGCGGCCCCAGTCATGGTGCAACACAGACAGTGGCGGCGGGCGGCGGCGGCGGCAGGGAAGCAGAACGCGTGAATGTGTCCAGTCCAGTGACCCTGAATCCTGGCGATCGCGGTATTCATATCGATAATATATTAATCCGATGATCGAATCTCCATTAGAAAGGATCGGAAGAAGTGTCACAGCGTAGGAAGTGAGCGACGTAAGAGTGGGGTCGGGGAAACCGGACCAGCTATGGCGGCTAAGAATCTGCAGCGCCACTTGTAAAATTCTCTCGTGCCTCCTTCTGCCTGGCACTGTCATCACGCAAGGAGAACGTGAACGCTGGGCAGTGTCACGGAAAAGTCGCACGTCATACCCATTCCGGATAAACGTTTTTCCGTTGGTGCAGTTTGTCTCGAAATAGATAAGACACATCCGTTCCGTGCAGTCAAGTTGCCAAATAGAAAAGATAAACAAAAAAATCCTCCAATTTCCCATACACGTAAACATACAGAACCACCCATACCCTCCAGACCGACGACCCGAACATAAAACAAACACCCACATTAATAACGGACGAAGACTTACATGCGCAACACATTTATTTAACTTCTGAGAACCCAAAACGCGAAACGAACCTGTTCAGAACCTCCCGAGCGGAAAGGAGTAAACACAGGCTTCGTCTCAGTCTAGTGGCGTCCACACCAAGTCACACACGACTGCAACGAAGAGGTTGTCAACATTTATTACTTATAAGGTGAGTTTATAGAATACGTGAAGAGATAGGATTTAAGGTAATTTTCTTCAGAGAGGGAATGTGTGTGAGATAAAAAAGAAAACTGTGTGTGTGAGAGAGAGAGCAAGAGTGAGAGAGAGAGCAAGCGAGAGAGAGAGAGAGAGCAAGAGAGAGAGAGAAGAGAGTGAGAGAGAGAGAGAGAAAGAGGGAGTGAGAGAGAGAGAGCAAGAGAGAGAGGGAGTGAGGGAGAGAGCAAGAGAGAGAGGGAGTGAGAGAGAGAGCAAGAGAGAGAGGGAGTGAGAGAGAGAGCAAGAGAGAGAGTAAGAGAGCAAGAGAGAGAGTGAGAGAGCAAGAGAGAGAGTGAGAGAGCAAGAGAGAGGGAGTGAGAGAGAGAGAGAGGGGGGAGAGAGATGAGAGAGAGAGGGGGGGTGAGAGAGAGAGAAAGAGGAGTGAGAGAGAGTAAGAGGAGTGAGAGAGAGAAAGAGGAGTGAGAGAGAGAGAGAAAGAGAGAGAGAGAGAGAGAGAGAAAAGAAGAGAGAAAGACAGAGAGAGGAGAGGAAGAGAGAGAGAGGGGGGGGGGGGAGAGAGAAGAAAGAGAGCGGAGAGAGAGAGAGACAGCAAGAGTGAGAGAGAGAGAGACAGAGAGAAAGAGGAGGAGGAGAGAGAGAGAGAGAGAGAGAGAGAGAGAGAGAGAGAGAGAAAGGAAAGAGGGAGTGAGAGTGAGAGAGAGAGAGGGAGAGAGAGTGAAAGAGGGAGTGAGAGAGAGAGAAAAGAGGAGAGAGAGAAAGAGAGAGAGAGAGAGAGAGCAAGCGAAAGAGAGAGAGAGGAGAGAGCAA